GTTTTGCCTATCCAGAAATGGAATATCTTTCCATTTTCTGATGTTCTCTTAGGCTTTCTTTTTCAAAATACTGTAGCTTTTGTTGTAAAGGTCTTTAATTTCCTTGGTATTTAATTTTTTTGATGCTACTGTGATGTATTATTTTCCTAATTTCTTTCTTTGTAAGTTCATTACTGGTGTACAGGAATGCTCTTGATGTTTGTGTGCTGATTTTCTATCATGCTACATTACTGAATTTGGTTATTAATTCTAGGAGTCTTTTGGTAGAACTTTTCGGGTAATCTATGTGTAGGATCATGTAATCTACAAATAATGATAACTTGACTTCCTTTCCTATACATATCTTTTTATTTGTTTCTTTTGCTTGATTATTCTGCTAATATTTCAAGAACTATATTGGAGAAGAGTGGTGATAGTGGACCTCTTTGTCTTATTCCTGATTTTAGAGGGAAATCTTTTTAGCTTTCCCCCATTTAATATGATGTTTGTCATAAATGGCTTTATCATACTGAGATAAAGTCCTTCCATACCTATTTTCTTCAACAATTTTTATATCATAAATGGATCTTGGATTTTTTCAATGGTTTTTCTGTATCATGTGATTTTTGTCCCTGCTTTTGCATTACATTTATTGATTTGTGTATGATAAACTATCCTTGCATCCCTGATGTATGATATTTCTGATGATTTGTTGCATTCTGTTTGCAAGTACCTTGAGAATTTTTGTATCTGTGTTCTTTAAAGAGGTTGGCCTATAGTTCTCTTTTTTGGTTAGGTCCTTTTTTGGTTTAAGAATGAGTGTAATGTTGGCTTCCAGGAATGACTTTGGGAGTACTCCTGCCCTTTCAATTTCATGATAGATATGATATATGAAAGAAACACATTTAATCCAAAAAGAAATTCAGATTAAAAATCAAAGAATGGAAAACAATATTCCAGGTAAAGTAACCCCCAATAAAGCAGGAGTAGCCATCCTATTTTCTGACATAAAGACTTCAAAGCCAAACTGAACAAAATAGGCAAAGAACATCCCTACATGTTGGTTAAGGGACAGGAAGAGATAGCAATTATAAACATACATGCACCAAACATGTGTGCCCATTTCATAAAACAAATACTACCATATATAAATGATGAGATAAAGACCAACACAATGACTAGTGGGGGATCTTAATATGCTACTCTCACAAATAACTAGACACAAGATTTTTAAAAATTAAAATTAGGAAAGAGCAAAAATTTAAAGCTATGTTGGGAATTAATATCACCATATTTCCTCACATTCTATTTTACCTCCAGTAAGTTATATGTCAAGGATTGATATTTATTTGGGCTAAAAGGCTATATCATTAAAAGTGCATAGGAAGCATTAATGGCCTTTAGTGTAATTTTAAAGGAACTATATAGCCCATCTTTTTTTTTTTTTTTTTTTTTT